ATCGTTTCATCAACCACAAATAAAAAAAAAATATAGAGTGCATGTTGGCCTCGTTCTTAAAACTTGTTTTGGCAGAAATGGCAATTACTCGATGAAATACCTAATTTGTCAAGACAAATTGAAATGACATAGCAAAGGGTCCCTTTTGAAATGGCTATTAATTGCCAAATAGTTAACCACATATTAATATGAAAATGTTTCCAATAGTATAATTGTATACTAATAATGACAACGCTACTGTAACTTACGTGTCATTAATCTGTTTTTAATGCTTTTACCTTTAATTGATAACCTCTTGTGATTTGAAATTCGTCCCACACAAGAGTGTTTGGTCGGGAATTACCACTTGTAACTAATTTCTTGCTCAATTCAAATCGAATGGCCAACGAGTTGTATTCGATTGGCAACTTTCTTACCAAAAAATCCAAGATAGGTATCCTTAATTTTCCAGGCTTGTAGGCATTGTTTGAATAGCGACAGTTCAACATTATATGTTATGAGGAATCCAGGTTGGTTCTTGGCTACGCATTCAGATAATTAGATGGTCCGTATTGCCTTGTATATCCATCCTGTTTGTTATAATGGCGTTCAATCGTACAAGTATATATAAACGAGCTGGTTCATTGCAGTTTCACAGAACATGAACGTGTAAGGTTTAGTAGTTGTTATATAGACGCGGCGGCCATGTTGAAATAGTCGATTTTGGATAACTACTCTATGTAAGTAGAAACGATTAGTGTCATTCCCAGCCGACTTTGGTGGTCACTCTATGTAAGCAAAACGATTAATGTCGTTCACAGGGACTGTCAGGCAATTGTTAAAATAGAAGGTAAAAAGGCCGGGTGACGTGTTTCGACGAGCATTAGCATTAGCAATTTAATGGAACACATATTGTACTGAGAATTGGTTTGGTGGTCTCAGCGCAAAAAAACAATACATTTTCTAAATTTCTGGCCCCACCTCATAAAGCAATAATGGGACACATTTTTGAAGAACGAGACAAACATGTACACTCTCTTTTATATATCTAGTTGATGAAAAGATACAGAATTAGTTAGAATTAGTTTGGGATATGTTTTATGAAAGAGACAAACAAGTTATTGCTTTGATCCAATGTTTATGTTCAATAAATGCGGTGAAGTATTGGGCGCAAGTGACATTTCGTGCAGATTTACATAAATCGGCTAGTGTGATATTTCAGCGCATCACATCACTTTTGGTAAGTCAAGCGACATCGAAAGTAAGGAAATGTTTACTTAACCTGTGAAGTACATGGCACAAATACATATTAGCTTAACTGAAACGACTTCCATTTGTTGTTTTCAGATATATTTGATTCAGTTGTATTTGATAAAATAATGTTGTTTGACAGTTAGGTAAAGCTGTTTTGTCATATATTTGATTCAGTTGTATTTGATAAATGTTGCCTCACAGTTATTGGGGCCTCTTATTAGGCAAGTAATTTGAATTTTTTTTAGTACTGTTGCCTCACAGTTATAAGGACCTCTTTAGTTATCTACTTTGAAGGGGCCACTTTTGGCCTCCAATTTGAATATTTTGCCACATATCGCCAGCCCTCTGCCGATTTTTGCCAAAATCGCCAATTTCGCCAAAATCGCCATTTTCGCCAAAGTCGCCAGCCTCCAATGGGCCACTTTTGGCATATTTTCGCCAGTTTCGCCATTTTCACCATTGCATGCATGGCGATTTTTGCCAAAATCGCCAATTTCGCCAAAATCGCTAGCCTCCAAGGGGCCACTTTTGGCATCCAATTCAAATCGCCAGAGGCTGGTGATTTTTCGCCATTTTCGCCATTGCATGCATGGCGATTTTTGCCAAAATCGCCAATTTTGCCAAAATCGCCAATTTCGCCGAAATCGCCATTTTCGCCAAAATCGCCAGCCTCCAAGGGGCCACTTTTGGCATCCAATTCAAATCGCCAGCGGCTGGCGATTTTTCGCCAGTTTCGCCATTGCATGCATTTCTGGACATAAGTGGAAGTCATACAAGTTTTTTCTTTTTAACTTTTTTTTATTTCTTTTTAATTTTTCCCGCGGACTTCAACAGGGTTGACAAAAAAGAGTTACAGACCACGAATTGTAAGGAAAGAATTAAAACGTGACTGTGCTTTTTTTTATCACAGCTGTCACCCTAAGGCTGTTGTAGTTACAGATTGCCTTAATATCTAAATGTTTTAATTGATGAATGTTTTACAAATACTTCTTCTCTACGGAAAAGCTATGTATGAAGACTTGACATCGGAGTCTCGCACACTGCTATACGTTTTGATATCTTCTCTCCTGTCTTTCCGTCGTGTAAACATCCGATATCTGGAATTAAATATTCCCCATGTGTGCAATGTCTTTTCAAAATGAACAAAATTAATTCGCTAAGTTTTAAGCTGAAAAATAAAACAAAAATTATAAAGCACAAACAACCAAAACAGACCACGCAAAAAAGCTCTATAAATAAACAGATTTACTGTATATTTAAACGCGCCCAGCTAATGCAGCTTTTATTCACCAAAATAATATATTTCCTCACTTAAAGTATTAAGAACACATTAAAACTGAACGTGTAAGCTCGAAATTTCATTGCATTTAACTAAGTTAAAGATCTTTTCACGCGCCTTAAAAAAAAAAGTTTAGGTCAGCCTCGTTCCCATGGACTCATAAAACGGGTCTGAGAGCTTCATAATAAATCCCGTTTTTTGGTAACTTCCCGTAATGGGATTTTTTGGGACTTTTGACATGTTAATAAGGGTACATTGCAGAGTCTAAAACCGTTGAAAAACCTTCTGTTGCAATTAGTGGCAGGTTGACCGATTTTTTTCCATAAAATGACTGGACTATTTCTTTTTGTCGGATCGTTTTTTTTTCCTTTGTTTTCATGGCTTTGGGGCATCGCACCGCGCCCCTCGGACCGCCAAAATACAAAAAACATGGTTTTTCCCTGGTCACTGACCGACGACTGTGCCATGATGATGACCGCCAGTAAAGGTGAAACAGCTGTCCATGTCTGCCACTGCCCGCGTGATATGGCTGTGCACATGCGTGAGGTAATTGCCAAGCCGTGGGTTGGTGTATGTGTGCCCCCCTGCTTTAATTTACTGGTAACTCGTGATCCACCTTCCCTGCACATGTCGTGGTAGAACTGCTGTGCGGTTCCCAGCCAACAGCTCCCACATGTGTTGTGTGGAGCTGGCGCTTGATAGACTGCTTTTGCACTCACCTCGGCAGTACGGGGTTTTTGAGACGTGGGTTTTCTCCGTTCATTAACCCAACTGCTTTGCTATGCTGGTGGGCGATACAGCT